TGGAGAAATCCCACGAGGTTGGACAGGCAACCCTACTCCTTGTCATGTACAACCGGGAAATCGAAACCAGTTGACTCAATGACAGACCTTATGATACTGCATGCACACGCTAACCATTTGGCCATCCAACCCCTTGAATAAGACATGCAGTGTGCTATGAAGGTAATTTTGCCCAAACAGCAGCGCTATGGTCTCCTCTTATTTCTATTTAAAACTGTCCAGGGATCTTTAATGACCTCTTTCGTTACCAGGCCCTTTGTCCTGCACCACTATAATCAGACTGCAATTTTATTGGATATATGCAAATTGATTTTACTGGTCAGCCAATCGAATTTCAGTATTTCTTAAAATTTCGATTGTATCTTAGTTTAAGTTTTCGTGAACAAGGGCCCAGGACCCTGGAATCTGTGTATTTCTAGTGTTACATAATGGTAGATGTTATTGATACAGTTATTGTGCCATCTTGACACATGAAAGCAGAATTGATTAAAATATCTTTATGTTGGCAATCGGCATCCATGGTTGTCCAGATCGCACTCTCTGGTATATGATGCAATATAGGCAGCTGTATAATCTCTTCCGCCATCCTTTGTCTAGAAAGGGTTTATAAGCAGGAATGAAAAGGAGATAGGAGAGACAAGGCTATAGGTGCCTTGGGTTAAGACTAGAACAAGGGCCATGTAAGTTAGTTGGTACCCTAAGGGTGTCAAGCCAAGGTAGGACCACAGCTCGCTCAACACAAGATAATTATGAAGTCTTAAGTTTTGTTCATGATATGTTTGAAGAAGAATAAAAAGTATCATATGACGTTAAACCAGTGTTGTCATCACAAACTAATTAAAAGAACCCAAAAGTGTAATACTAGTTCATTATATCATTGGAACATTTTAACAGCAACATTTTGAAACAAACCTTAAAGTTGTCAATCTGTGTTTAGAGGATGCCTCAACAGATGGAAGTGTTAAATCATAATTGTGGCCATCAATCATAAAGCTGGTAAATTATTTTTAATCTCTTTTCAGATGGTATTCTACATTTTCATCCAAGCGTAAAATATGGGGTAATAAGATGAAAGCGGGGTGCAGGAATTGATGAATGACTTTAAACGTAAGTTAGTCTGTTACCTGAATAAGTATGATAAATTGTACGTAATGGTTTAAAAAAAATACCTCATGTTACAGAAGGTATCCTTTACCAGAAACAAGAATTAGTTGTTTCGTTAGATCTTGAGTATCTGTGGGAACATGGGAACAGTCTGGTATTTTCGTTACAGTCTCAACCATTTAAATAGGAAGTGTATTGCTAATCACGCAACCAATCATAGAACAAACAGCACATAAACACAACACAATCAACTCAAATACCAAAAGATAACCACACAGGTGCTCACAGGTGATGTCAATGACAAGTGGAGAAATGTGTTCCATGGCACAGACAATCAACTGAAAACCGCACAAGACAACATCCCTGTAAAAGGTCCTGACAGGTGATACAGTCAAGTGGTATCAAGAGTTCCACGGCACAGACAATCAATTGAAAACAGCACAAGACAACATCCCTATTAGAGGTCCTGACAAGTGATACAGTCAAGTGGTATCAAGAGTTCCACGGCACAGACAATCAACTGAAAACAGCACAAGACAACATCCCCATTAGAGGTCCTGACAAGTGGTATCAGGTACACCACAGACAATCAACTCAAAATACCACAAGACAACATCCCTTTCACAGGTGATGACCGAAACAAGTGGTATCAGTGTTCCATGGCAAAGTCAACTGAAACAAAACCCCACAAGACCATAAGTGCTCACAGGTGAGACCAGAGACAAAAGGCACAAACAATCAACTCAAGGCAGCACAAGACAACATCCATATCATATGTACTCTCAGATGAACTCAAAGAGACAAAAGGCAGCAAGTGTTTCAAAGCATAGACAATCATGTCACGACATCCATATCACACATTCTCACAGGTGATCCCTGTGCCAAGTGGTATCAGATGTTCTATAACAGAGACAATGCAGGCACAAGACAACATCTTGTTCATAGGGGCTCACAGGTGAGCCTAGAGACAAGTGGAATTGGGTGTTCCATGGCACAGACAATCAATTTGAAATATCACATCACTATAACCACATGACAAGTGCAATCAGCTACCATAGAAACAGTAGGGGCAGTAACTCATGCACAACATGTCACAAATCTGTACCTGAGACACCAAAAACTGGGATTCAGAATGGATAAATTAAAAGTTGTTCTCACATAAAAATGAAAACTGATAAAACTGCCAATTTCAGTCACTCCTGCCAGATTTTCCGGTCTGGTTTCCCATTTCAATGGTGGAGGATTAATGGAACCCAAAAAAGACCATGGTTATGTTAAAGATCTCCTGACAATTGCAAATCAAATGAGTAGGCTGTTGCACTGCCGCTGTCCTCATAGCACACTGAATGACGTTTGTCCATCTTCATTAACCCCGGTTGGAGCAGAAACGTAAAGACATTAAGCCCCATTCCATTTCATTTATTTCTGACTAGATTAAAATCAGGCACACATTTTAAAACTTTTATCCTTTCCAAATTTGGAATCACGAAACCTTGATAATACTATCCAAATCACTGTTAAGATAACATCAGGCCACCAACATTCATATGTCTTCATTAATTTATATCCATAAATACTTCTGCACTTAAAATAGGACTAAATTCTTTAACCCCTTAGCACTTGGTACATGTAAGCTTATATATTGACTATCCCAGTTCCTGAAGAAAATTACAGAAACAGTCCGCAACTGTTGTTCCTTAGACCGACTCAAATCGCCGAGATATGAATAGCTTTCCATATTATATGACCATATTGAATGTGCCACAGTTTAGGGTGGTCTAGGGTGCCCTAGTAAAGATGGTTTCAGGGCGGTCTAAGCTTTCCTAGTAAGGATGGTTTCAGGCGGTCTAATCAGCCCTAGTAAGGATGGTTCTGGTGGTCTAAGCAGCCCTAGTAAGGATGGTTTTGGGCGGTCTAATCAGCCCTAGTAAGGATGGTTTTGGGCTGTCTAAACAGCCCGAGTAAGGATGGTTTCAGGCGATCTAAGCAGCCCTAGTAAGGATGGTTTTGGGCTGTCTAAACAGCCCGAGTAAGGATGGTTTTGGGCGGTCTAATCAGCCCTAGTAAGGATGGTTCAGGTGGTCTAAGCAGCCCTAGTAGGGATGGTTTTGGGCGGTCTAAGCAGCCCTAATAAAGATGGTTTCTGGTGGTCTAAGTGCTAAAGGGTTAAGAGATCTTCTGCTTATCTTTATTTTATTATGAATAAATGTCAGTAAATGATAAAATATTATCAAAATTCCACAAAACAATCATTTATTAGATAAATGGTAATTCTCTTACATATTTCTGTATTATAAGAAATACCAATTTTTTAATTTCTTTTATTAAAATTAAAGAATACTGGGATTTCTTTGTTCCAAATTGCATAAAATAAAGAAAATGGAACCAAAAAACCCAAAACAACCAGACATGGACAGGGGGGCTGCATTCCTGCACAAATGCATACAGTGATATGAATTTTCAGATAAAAAATAACACATTTTCAGGTAAAAAAATTAACTCATTTTCAAGTAAAAAATAACACATTTTCAGGTAAATAAGAACACATTTCAAGGTAAAATTATCAAATTTCCAAGTAAAAAAATATCACATTTTCAGGTAAAAAAATATCACATTTTCAGGTATAAAATAACACATTTTCGGGAAATCATAGATTTCTCAAACATTTTATTTTTTTGATTCAATATTTTTCAATAAATTCAGAAAATCATAGAGTGTTCTAAAACCAGGGGCACTTGTTTCAGTCTTGATTGACTGGCCATGGAATGGAGAATTTACTGTCTTTTGATTTACATGGCATACAATTAGAACTTCGAACAATTTACAGTTTTTATGTGGAATGAAATGAAATGAAATGAAATGGGGTTTAACATCCTACTGTTCTGCTCCGACTGGGCTAATGAAGACGGGCATACGCCATACAGTGTGCTATGAGGGAAATTTTGCCCGGGCAGCGACACTACGGCCTACTCTTATATCGAATTCCAACTGCCAAGGGATCTTTTATGTGCACGCCAATGTGTACATGGTACCTCAGTTTTCCGTCCCATCCAAACGACTAGACAGCTGTCCTTGAGTTTTTATATGTAAAAATATATTAAAACACTGGGATGATGCTAAAGAATTGTCATATTATTTAAACAAACTATCTTACTAATTTGAATTATGGTTAAACATAAAAAAATAACTGGTTGGCAATCCTTATAAAAATCTAAAAAGTACCAACAGAATAGGGCTGTGAATACTGGAAGCTGAGAAACTGGTCTTCTGTTTGAAATGTTGTGAATATTTGACAGGAGTCAGTAGTAATTACCGTGATAATTATCAGCAGTAACATGATCCTACAAACTGACATGGATATAACAACCCTATAATGTTACATTATGAACTATTGTATCCCCCACTGTGTTCATCAACAAATTCCCAACCACCGGTATTATTTAGAATCTCTTGCCGGAGGCTAGACCTGTATGTGATTCCTATCACGTCTAATATACCTTAACAGACGTGGAGTAGAACCACATGCTAACGCTAACAAATTGCCAATTTACAAACCTAAGGAATTTTTTCTCCGTCACTTCTTGGTATAATTACAGGTGATTTGTAAAATTGTGTGAATAGAAAGGGAGATGTAAAAACACATTTATTAATGAGGAATGTACTGCATCATGTGAAATACCCTCCCCTTCTCGACAGCGGATCATTTAAAGCTTGTCATTTTTCATACCTCTGATAATGATTTATCAACTTGATACCAACCCCAGGTGGGTAATTATTTACTGAATTCCAACATATATGCACCAGAACTGTCCTTCTGTAAAGGGGCACCTGCTGATTTGGAATATTAAGATGAGATAAAAGTAATTATTAAACTGAAATATCCAAAATTAACTTACTGTTGTTTGCTTTGAACAATTCCAATTTCAACTTTATCCTCAAATCGGCTTGTCCTGTAACGAAAATACAATTTCATGTTCCTTTAAGATTTCTATTTATTATATAACATTCCCTTTCCGGTTAGGGGAGCCATGACTGCACAGTGAGTTAGAGATTCTGACTCACAAATTAGGAGGGCCAGGATTTGATTCCTGTGTTAGCCGACCGTGAATGTTCCCAGATGTTTTCCAGTCTGGTTTCACCTTGTCAGTGGTGCAAGATGGAGTTTACAGTCATTTGGATGGGATGAAAAACCAAAGTCTCATGTACATGTAAAAAGATCCTTTCCTTTGACAATTGGAATTCGATGAGGAGCCGGCGGTAAAAATCTCTGTTCAAGCAAAATTTCTCTTGCTGTTCAAGCAAACTGCATATCAAAAACCCATCTTTATTAGCCTAGTCGATGCAGAAAAGTAGAATGCTATACCCCATTTCATTTCTATTAATTGTCGGTCAGCATGTAATATATAATTATATCATAAGATTACAATGAGAAATTGTTGTTGGATACATTAAGATAGATAATGGAAGGAAAGAGAACAAATATTTTAATAAAGTTACAAAATATTAACAAAAGTTCTATGTAATATTCAAATGTAATTATCATAGCTTGTGAATGGCAAAATAACTGGAAATTTGTGATCCTAAAATTTCGAAATCCAATAATATTCTTCCTTATGCTGGCCCAAATGAACAACCTTGCCAAGTCTTTCAAAATTTCATTGCCTTATATCGCATTCACAAGATTTCAAATAAATTATCACTGCAAATTTGAAAAAAAATTGACCTATTGAGTATTCACAAGAAATTATTGATAGACAAAGATCATCAAAATTCAACCCTTTTAATATAAAACCTGTTTACATTATTAAAATGTTTGTGTTCATTATTTTGAAGTGGAGAAGAGAATTTCTGCTATAAACCAGATGAATCTGACATGCGGACGACCTTCAACCCTAATCTCCTATCACACTGTAAATCTCTATATTTAATCAAAGTTCAACCCTTTTTTTCAAAACCTGATTACATTATTAAAAGGTTTGGGTTCATTATTTTGAAGTGGAGAAGAGAATTTCTGCTATAAACAAGATGATCGGACATGCTGTCGACCTTCAACCCTAACCTCCTATCACATATATATTGGGGTGGAGAGGCTGGATGGTCAAATGGTTAGCGGTGCATGCCGTATCATAAAGTCTATCATTGAGTCACACAGTAAATCTTTATATTTAATCAAAGTTCAACCCTTTTTTTTCTTAAATCTGATTACCTTTTTAAAAATTCTGTGTTCATTATTAAGTAGTTGAGAAGAGAATTTCTACTATAAACCAGATGATCGGACATGCTGACGACCTTCGACCCCAATCTCCTATCACACAGAGAGGAACATGTAAAATATGCCTAATTGTGTTCTGGTATTTTTTTTAGACCAATGGTGCCACAGGCTGAAACTCATACAGAATAAACCACATCTTAAATAAGCAAAGCTTACCGTGTATCAAAATATACATTTTTTTCTATATCGGGAAGTAGTACACCCCAGGGGGTTCGCGAAACAGACAAACATACGAAAGGTGATCAGTTAATAAAATATATATTAGATTACTGAAATTTACACTTGGGATGATCAGGTTAATCTCAAGTTTTGTTTTATTTGTAAAATACTGTCTTAATTACTGTTCTAATGGTTGTGCATTTCCCACTAAATAGAAATCTGTCATATGCTCTATATTAGTTTTGTTTTGTTCTCAATCACTGTTTTAGTAAACAGTAGGATGTTAAACCCCATTTGTTTTCATTTCACTTTACATCCTACTAGGAATGAACCTGTTATTCTTATATCTAGTAAAATGAAATGAAATGGGGTTTAATGTCCTATTGTTCTGCTCCGACTGGACCAATTAAGACACGCATGCACCATACAGTGTGCCATAAGGGAAATTTTACCCAGACTACGGTGCTACTTCCTTCTCATATATCGAATTCCAACTGCCAAGGGATCTTTCACATGCATGCCAATGTGTACACAGGACCTCAGTTTTTCATCTCATCCAAACAACTAGTCAGCTGTCCTAGTCAGGCCTTCCGTCCTGAACCACTGACAAGGGGAAACCACGCTGGAAAATCCCAATGATCTTTCTCGGCCAACACCGGAATCGAACCCAGGACTATATCTTATAAAACTTTTAAATAAACTTTAATTCTTACTACGGAGTATTGTTCTATTTTTAATCAGTGTTTTAGTAGCTGTGCTTGTCCTTCTAGGAACAGCAAACCTTTGGCTGTTTATAAAACTTTTAAATAAACATTATTTCTTATAATATAGTATTATCTAATTCCAACAATACTGTTTTAGTAGATGTGCATGTCCCACTAGAAACAGTTCGTAGACCTGGAGACCCGACATTTTATACTTATAATTTAAGCACAACTTTTAAATAAACTTTTAATTCTTATTATAAAATTTTGTTGTATTCCCAATCATTGTTTTAGTAGCTTATATTTATAATTTTAGCACGTCTGTTTATAAAACTTTTAAATAACTTTAATGTATCTTATGAAGTATTGTTTAATTTCCGCAATACCTTCATTGTTTTAGAAATTGAAAATATCCCATTAAAACCTACCATGCTTAAATTTATAATTTTAGCACACATTTTTCTGTTCATAAAACTTTTAAATAATTTTAATGCTTATTATCAAGTATTGTTTCACTTTTATGTTCTAGTGTAGCTGTGCAAAGTTTCCAAGGCTTTTTGAGAGTGGTGTCCCCTTTTAAGTGTGTGCATGATGCAGGACCTGGCAAGGAACAGTGTCTAGTCATTTGCATGGGGCAAAAAAACGAAGTCTCATGTACACCTTGGCTTGCCTGAAAAGAACCCTTGGCAACTGGAACTCAATGAAGAGTATCTGCTATCTGGGAAAAACTTTTTTTTTGCAAATTACATAGCATATGCTCGTCTTCATTTTCATTAGTCAGGTTGGTGCAGAAAAGACCCATTTCATTTCATTTTTCTACTTAAAACAATTTCAGACATTTGTAATGAATTTCTAAAAGAAGTATATATCACACTGACGGTAGCTGGTTAATGTCACAGATTAATGTTAGAAAGGAATGAAGTCTTTGTAGTATCACAGATTGTGTTGTAGAGCTATGGTTCAGGAAGAAAGATGATACGGTTTTATCTTGAAGTAGATAACAGAACATCTAAGCCGAAAATTTGTTTCTATTCAAGGAGAAGCAATGACCTTAAGATGACAAATCCAACATGAGATTTAATACAGTTATCTGGGTATCAAATCTGTCAATCATTTTGTCCATCAAACGCACAACAGTCAATGCCTTAATGGCCACGCCAGGGCTCTAGCCTCAAAATGAAATGAAATGGGGTTTAACGTCCTACTGTTCAGCTCCAAATTGGGCTAATGAAGACGGGCATACGCCATATGTGCTATGAGGGAAATTTTGCCTGGACAGTGCCACTACAGCCTACTCTTATATCGAATTCCAACTGTCAAGGGATCTTTTACGTGCATGCCAATGTGTACACAGGACCTCGGTTTTTCATCCCATCTGAATGATTAGACAGCTGTACTTGTCAGGCCCTCCGCCCTGCATCGCTGACAAGGGGGAATGTCGGAAAATCTGTATAAACTTTCTCAGCCAATGCAGGGATCGAACACTCGACCTCGAGGCTAGCGAGCCAGCGTCTTACTATAGCCACCGTGACCCCCCCCCCTCTAGCCTCAAACTTTGTCAGTCGGACATCTTCTTTGATAGGTAAATTCCTCATAAGGAATTTTATGGGTTTATAAGTTTAAAATACCAGTTTTAAAATGAATTCTACTCAGAATTTGGGAATATCATTTGTTAAAGACATATGTACACAAATATAATACAGATTAAAGTACTTTGATATCTTGCCTCAAACAAAAAAAATGAAGTTTTTATTTAAGTGGCAATAAGCCTATACCAATGAGATTAATGAACTTGTTATTATTTATCAGACTTTTATTGTACTAATTGCTAAATATACATGTAGAAATTAATTTAGAAATTCTAGTAGATTAAGAATATATGAGAAGATTTCGGATACAGTAATCTGTAAATGTTTTTACACTATGCATTGACAACAATATTACTAATTTTAAGCTTCAATTTCTTACAATTATTCAAGGTACACACAGTACACTGTGAGAAAATTTCTTGGAATGATTTTCATATCACTGAGCAACAGGTTGCCAATAAGGTAATAAAATATTAACACAAAAATGATGTTTTTTCTTGAAATATTGTAATAATTGCCAAATGTATTTTTTAACCTGAGATTCAATATGTTTGTTATTATACGATGTCTATAGATTTAGTTTAATTATAAACTATTTCATTCTGCTTGCCAACCACAATCAGGCAGCTGATCGTGATATGGTGGTAATACCGTATTTGACCAAGCCAATGAGAATCAGAACGATTTAACCCATGATCCTTAAAGACTTCAAGTTACAATTTCATATTTTTAAGTTATATTTTTAAAATTTATTAAAATAAGAGAGAGAGAGAGAGAAATGGGGTTTAACGTCCACTCGACACAAACTAGGTCATTTCGGGACTAACATATGGTTCAATTTTATTTCCATAATTCGCTTGCGCGTAGGGGTCTTTAGCAGTGGGAGGAAACCGGAGGACCCGGAGAAAACCCACGAGGTTGGACAGGCGACCCTACTCCTTGTCACGTACAACCGGGGATTCGAAACCACGTCAGTTGACTCAATGACAGACTGAATGATACAGCGCGCACGTGCTAACCACTAAGCCATCCAACCCCCCTTATTAAAATAAAGCCTTAAAATAGATGGTATCTATAAACAGCCCTACCTTGTTAAAGAATAATCCTATTAATCCTATAATTCACTATTGCCAGTTGAGAAATAGGCAAAAATATCATTTTCATCTTCAAATTCCAACGTTTCAAGATAACTACTCCATGGTGGAGAATAAAAAACAAGGGAGGTA